ACCAAATGCGCGTCTTATAAAACATAATCCTGTAGGTGCGTGTGAGATGCGTGGTGATGAGATTCCTCCAACTTGATTGACGTACGTCATCGGGGCAACGCGCGTGTGTGTGTGTGTGTGGTCTGGATCTGTGCGTCGTGTACTCCAGGGAATACGGTAATAGCAGAGGTAGATGTTTTTAACACGTTAAGCTTTCTCGACCAATATTATTCCGAAATAGAGGTGTTCGGGTTAGATCGCGTTATTTATAAATGTGTTGTAACCCTCCACCACCCGACACGGCCAAACAGTAAAAAAAATGTGTCACATTTTTACAAAAGACGAAAAGTTCACTACTTTAGCCCACCGGTGTGTTGAAGAGTGAATCAACATCATTATGAAGCAGAGGTAGAGTTGGGAATTCGTGAGTGGATTAATGTCCTGGTGATTTTCAAGGTCGCGCCATAATGTTGCATTGATTGTTGTAACTTTCTGTCCCACACCCTAGTAGGGCATCTGTGATGAAGAGCTTCACAGCTCTTCGGATTTCTCAGGGATAAATATTCTGATTTGCACCGTCGCTTTAATGATTTTGTTTTAATCTCGTTTCAACTTTCAACAACGCAACTTTGGCAATGCCCTTTTTTTGTTGTTGCACAATTAATAACAAATATTAATTAAAGTGGCACTTTCAAAAACAAATATCAAACTACAATTGATGTATTGATTCAAATTACAGTGCATTGTAAATTAAATCGTAGTGGCAAGTGCAGTGATCAGTGTGTTGTGCTTTTTGTTGCGTCACGTGTGTAAACATGTGTGCAACCTTTGCATGTTCACTGGGTTACATGCTATCTGTTGCGTCTACATCATGTTCTGTGCGTTACGTGTGTGCTGCGTCACGTGTGTTTGTGCGTGACATGCGATGTGTACGTGTATGTAACGCGTGCACGTGTGTGTGTTAAATGTCGTGTGCGTCACGCGTGTGTTTTGAAGTACCGTACAGGTTTCGTAAAGTATGTTACGTGCATACTCGATTGCATCTGCACTGTGTATAATATATGACACGTGTCACATGTGCGTTGCATGCACACTGCATCACATGTGTCATGTATACTGTTGTTTGTACTACATGTACTGTATGACATGTGACGTGTGTCACATGTGACCGTGTATAGGGTATTACATCACACATGTAGCATGTGGTTTATGTATGTGACCGTGTATACACTACACCATGCTGTTTACCATGCGCTCCGTGTGTTCTTTTGTAGTCTGCATAACATGAATGTGCATATTCGGTACTGAATGTTGTGTGTTGCATGTGACTGTGTATACAGTACTGTCTTACATCACGCGTGCAACGTGTGTGGCAAGCATGTGACTCAGTGTGTATACTGCATCAGATATGTTTAATACCTGATCACACATTGCATGTTACTGCGCGTGGTATGTAATGCATTGCGTGCGTGGGGTTGTGCATTAACTGCACTACATATCACACACACACACACACGTGTGCTGCATGTGCACGTATGTATATAAACTTTCAAATCACACGTATCACGCGTGCAACATTTGTGTGCTTTGCATGTGCCTTTGTAATCTCGCCTACACGCCACACATGTGTAACATGCGTGTGTCGCATGCATGCCTGTGTGTGAGACTGCTATGTATTCTGCACATACCACACCAGAGGCAGGCCGTCAGGGCCAGCAAGGCCTTCTCTGCTGGCCTAGAGATTGACGCAATCAGAAAATTATAATTTGACATGATAATAGGGGGTTCCCCCTTTTTTCTGGCAACAAAACAGACGTTAAAACGCCAAACTGCAACCTTTTACAAGGAATCACGTCTGCATTAACCACAATGCTTGTGGTCAGAATGCAAACAAAATACATACTCCGATCATATATGTGGCATTGTCCTTGAAACTGATTGGCCCACACCAGAGACAGCTTTCTTTTGAGCCTCGTCTCAAACGGTGTTAGACCTGAGGACGCTAAAAGGCGTACAGCACAAAGACAATGCCACTATCAGAGTAATTAGAGCTCGGGGTGATTTATAAATTAGAGCTTTTATCCAATCAGATTTTCCACCTGTGTTGTCTCCGCCTCTCCGGGTGAAAAATCTACCCTGAGGCCTTCAGAGTGTCGAGTGAATCCCTCTGCTGTTGAAGCAAATGGGGACGATGTTGTTCATTGTCATTCTTTAACCAATCAGATGTCGAGTTTGCCATGGTTGTCATATTCTTTAACCAATCAGATTTCGAGTTTGCCATGGTGGGCGTGTTCTTTGACACACGGGAGCCTTCTAGCTGGCCTAGCCGCCTACGTCAGCATTGTTCGTGTGGCGTGATCGGAGGGCCAGTTAGCTAACTGAAGTAAAACTATCTAGCATGTAACGTAGCATCATCTAAGATTCATTTAAACTTTATATCGTAACGTTTAGATTTTTAGATGCAGTGCTTTAGATATATTTTTTCTGTGGGGAAGCTTGTTGAATCCTGATTGTTGTTATTTGTGTTTTACGGAATTTTTGCTTGCTTGGTGGTCGTACGAGTTAATGTGACTGGTTGTTGTGAGTTCTTGTTTCTTTGGCTATGGCATTGATTTGGGCTATGCGATGTCTATTTGTGATTCAGAATCCCGTCATACTGCGTAATAGTGGTACATCCTTGGTGGTTTCTGTCACCATGTATTAATAATGTCTTTGCAATTAGTGTATCGTAACTCTCATAGGTGTTGAGCCTCGTGTTAAATCACTTTATTCCACTCGATAAAGGTTACTGTCACTGTGAATATGGAGTGGTTACGTCGAATAGATAATATCCTGTAGCCCTCGTGTCACGGTGAGGTTATTCGAATGCGGTTTAATTGCGGGAGGATAGTACTGGTGTAAAATACATGGGCCGCCACTGTACCACACACGTGTAACAGGTATGTCGTATGCATATGCCCTATGTATTATCTTCGGCACATCACACACACGTATGTAAACATGCGTGCTGCACGCATGTGCCTATAGTTTTGTGTTGAAAGCCCGGAAAGGTTAGGCAGAGGGGGGTAGCAGCAGTAGTAGTAGTGTGTAGTTGTGTGTTTATGTTGTATAGTGGTGTGTGTGTGTAGTAGTGGAGAGCGGTGGTGCAGCGGTTAGCGCGCTGCGCTACGAAGCTGACCACCCGGGGTTCGATTCCCGCTCACGGGCAACAACAGCGACGATTATCTGAACCGGTCCTCCCCTAGGTCGACTCAGCCTCAAATGAGTACCTGGTGTGGTGTGTGAACATCGCCACTGGGGAGACAAAGGCGGTCGGGCGTGGTGCTAGCCACCCCTCGTGTACCTTCAAAGGTGCTCGCTAACAGCACTTGCCCCTACAGTCTGCTAAGGCTATACGGGGGATCTTTGATCTTTATAATAGTGTGTATATGTGTGTGTAGTGTGTATGTGTGTAGTGGGGTGGCTAAAGTGGAACATCTTCGCCGGTTAGAAACATTTAGGCCGGCCTGCCTACGATCCATCCTGGGTTTAACCAGACTGGATTGTGTGAGGAGCTCACAAATCCTTGAAAGATCTGGGCAAGGTCCCATCGGTGAGCTCCTCCGGCGGGCAAGGCTGCGATGGCTGGGTCATGTAGCCCGCATGCCCAGCCACTGCATGCCGAAACAGCTTTTGTTCGGCCGAATCGAGGGGGCTAAACGGGCACGGCACGGGCTAGAGAAGAGATGGAGTGATGTGGTACAGGAGGACGTGGAGCTGAGTGGACTTGCCGATGACTGGTACCAGCGGTGTCAAGTTCGGCCTCTGTGGAGGAGGCTCGTGAAGGATGCTACTGGGCAGTTGGAGGCAGTCGCCCTCCAACAACAACGGAGGGCGGAGCGACGCTCACAACAACGAGCGGAGCGCCGGGTGGCTAAAGCACAGCAGGTTGGCACAGTAGGGGGCACAGGTGGTGCATCAGCCAGTCATCTCAGTCAGTCGACCCGTGGCACCTGGGTCTGCCCCGTGACCTCCTGCCAGTGGGCGTTCGACACTTCACGTGGCCTCAAGGTGCACATAGCCTGGCACAAGCGTCGTGGTGACGTCACCGCCACTTAGTGGCGAATGGCGGTTGTCGTGTGTAGTGTGTATGTGTGTAATGTATGTGTGTAGTGTGTGTGTGTGTAGTATGTATGTGTGTAGTATGTATGTGTGTAGTGTATGTGTGTGTAGTGTATGTGTGTAATAGTGTATGTGTGTAGTGTGTATGTGTGTGAATGTGTGTAATAGTGTGTAGTGTATGTGTGTAGTGTGTGTAGTGTATGTATGTGTGTAAGTGTGTATGTGTGTAGTGTATGTATGTGTGGTGTATGTGTGTAGTGTATGTATGTGTGTAGTGTATGTATGTGTGTAGTGTGTGTGGTGTATGTGTGTGAATGTGTGTAATAGTGTGTAGTGTGTGTAGTGTATGTATGTGGTGTATGTGTGTAGTGTATGTGTGTAGTGTGTGGTGTATGTGTGGTGCGTGTGTGGGGCGCCTAGAAACGGCTGCGTTTGTGTGGCCCCACTCTTCCTCCATGTTGCTGCTTCTGTCAGGCCTGGCGCATCATCACCACCACGGCCACGGCTTTGTGACACAACTTTGACTCACAAACAACAAACTAACAAGCGGCAACTGACGAGGGTGAGCGACGTCGACTACCGCTGACTATAAACAACAGCGGCCCGCATCAAAAGCGAGTGGCGACATCGAGAAAGAGAGAGAGAAAGAGAGAGAGGAGTATTAGTAGTGTAGTAGTAGTGGTGGTGGTGGTGGAGGGGGAGGGGGGTGAAATTTAAAAAAGTTTATAATATAAAAAAGTACATGTCGGTTATCGCCGTTCGCTGTAAGGGGAATAAACTTGCGTGCGGTCACAAGTCTTTGCAGCAGCAGTAGTAGTAGTTTTTTGTGTGTGTGTTTCGTTTAAACATTTCTGAGCGTAAGAAGCGAGGGGTAGGTTGTTGTTTTTTAGGGGGGGTGGGTGGGTGGTGAGGGAGGAGGAGGAGGGGGGTAGCGACTGTGAGGAGGACGACGACGACGAGGAGGAGGAGGTTGACGAGGAGGAGGAGGAGGCCGCTTGCGTGGTGAGAGAAGCAGCCGATGGAAAGTGCGACCATCATCACGCAAGTTTGCCGCGAAGATGACACGAGCACGGCGACAGAAAGAGGTAACGAACATTGTTCCTTCGGAAGAAGAAGAAGAAGTAGTATTTTTTTTTTCAAAACTATAACTCTCTCGTGTGTGTGTTTTTTAATATAAGTAATTTATAATTATTTTTTTTAAAAAAATAAACCTGGCAACAACGTTGTGTGCGCGCGCGTGCGCGTGTGCTAATGAGTGTGTGGGGAGCGGTGGTGCAGCGGTTAGCGCTACGCTGCGCTACGAACCTGGCGACACGGGTTCGATTCCCGCTCACGACCAACACCAGTGACGATTATCTGAACCGGTTCCCGGGCCTCCCCTAGGTCGACTCAGCCTCAAATGAGTACCTGGTGCGGTGTGTAAACATCGTCACTGGGGAGACAAAGGCGGTCGGGCGTGGTGCTGGCCACCCACCCCCTCGTGTACCGTTACCGGCCTTCATAGGTGCTCGCTAACAGCACTTGCCCCTACAGTCTGTTAAAGGCTACACGGGGGATCTTTGTCTTTGTGTGTGTTAGGTGCTACTCGCCAACAGCACTTGCCCCAACATTATGTTGAAGGCTACACGGGGGATCTTTGTCAATGAGCAAGTTCGACTCCCGCTCACGGCCACCGGTTCCCGATCCCTCCCCTAGGTCGACTCGGCATCAAATGAGTTACCTGGTTCCGGCTGCGTTAAAAAAACAAACAAACATCGCCACTGGGGGAGACAAAGACGGCCGGGCGGGGTGCTGGCCACCCACCCCCTCGTGTACCCACTGCTCCGTGCTTTCATAGGTTCCACTCGCTAACAACACTTGCCCCAACAACAACAATATGTTGTTGGGGCAAGTGTTGTTGTTGTTACAGGCTGTACCAAAGGGAGATTTGTGTTAACGGGTACCCCGGTACGCTATGTAGTCAACGCCGCTACTGGAGGAGAGACAAAGGCGGCCGGGCGTTGCGTGCTTACTTACCGTCCGCGACTAACTTAACATCATCACTTGTGCCCCAGACGGTGTTGTCGTGTGGTGTTTGTTTTGTGTAGTAGCTTCGTGCCGACCAAGTTGTTAGAAGTTCACCGTTTTAACGCCGATCGGAGTGGAGAGTGTGCGGCTGGGGGGGGGGTAAGGGGGCCCCCCTTTGTATGAAAACTATTTAGTTGTGGGTGCTGCTGGTGCTGCTGGTGGTGGTTGTTTGTGTTACTTGACGGTTTTATCGCGTGTGAATTTTATATATATGAAAAAGGCAAAAGTTAGCGGTAGTTTTGTGTAAAGTGTGGCTTTTTTTGGTTGTTTTCTGGGTTATGTTTGATGTTGGGGGGGGGGGGGGGGGTTGAGGGAAAATGACAACAATAATAATTGCCACGGTACGTTTTTAAAGTTGTGTTTTTAAAGTTTGTGTTTTTTTAAGTTGTGTTTTTAAAGTTGTTTTTAAAGTTGTAGTTTGACAGGGAGCAGGGCTGAGTCGTACACACGTGTTTGTGTGTGTGTTGTGACTCAAAATGAGTACCTGGTGTGCGGTGTGTAAACATCGTCACTAGGAAGACAAAGGCGGCCGGGCGTGGTGTTGGCCACATCAGCACCATCGTGGCCACAACAGCACCATAGGGTGCTCGCCAACATAACCATCGTGGTCACACCAGCACCATAGGGTGCTCGCTAACAGCACCATCGTGGCCACATCAGCACCATAGGGTGCTCGCTAACAGCACCATCGTGGTCACATCAGCACCATAGGGTGCTCGCTAACAGCACCATCGTCGCCACAACAGCACCATAGGGTGCTCGCTAACAGCATCATAGGGTGCTCGCTAACAGCACCATCGTGGTCACACCAGCACCATAGGGTGCTCGCCAACAGCACCATAGGGTGCTCGCTAACAGCATCATAGGGTGCTCGCTAACAGCATCATAGGGTGCTCGCTAACAGCATCATAGGGTGCTCGCTAACAGCACCATCGTGGCCACACCAGCACCATAGGGTGCTCGCTAACAGCACCATAGGGTGCTCGCTAACAGCATCATAGGGTGCTCGCTAACAGCATCATAGGGTGCTCGCTAACAGCATCATAGGGTGCTCGCTAACAGCATCATAGGGTGCTCTCTAACAGCACTTGCCCCAAAAAGTATCTTGAGGCTATAAGGGGGGGGGTGGAGGATCTTTGTGTCTCCAATTGTGCCCGGGAGATTGTTGTGTTATAAGTAAACAACTTCATGTAAAGTTTGTAAACGAATGTTCATGTAAAGTTTGTAAACGAATGTTGTGGTTTCTTTGCATCTCGTAACGACTCCCGGTGGTTTGTTATTGTTGTAAAAGTGTGATTTTGTGGTGTTCGTGTTTGATTTTAACAATCCGTTTTAGTTATTTCACGATACTTTGACCTGCATTGTTGACATTCCGTTGAGATACTTTCCGTCTTTTTGTGTTGTGAAGCTTCCCAGGAATGTTTCGTTTTTCTCTTGCGTAATTGCGTTTGGTTTGTTGTGGTTTTTATTTTGAAACGTGCATCTTATATTTTGGTTATGGATATGTTGTGTTTGTCCCTCGGCTATACAATGTTTCTGTTTGATCAAATGATGTGTTCATGTTGTTTATCAAATAGTTTTTTAAAATTTTATTTTGCAAGCCTGTCTGTCCAGGAGTGTGTATTTGTCTGAAAATGTGCTTTATTTTGCTGTGTGTGGTCGTCAATGTGTTTGTGTAGTAATGTATAAATGTGTTGGCATACATTTGTGTAGTAATGTGTCAATGTGTTTCGTACATTTGTGTAGTAATGTGTAAATGTGTTTGATACATTTGTGTAGTAATGTGTAAATTTGTGTCATACATTTGTGTAATAATGTGCAAATGTGTTGTCATACATTTTTGTAGTAATGTGTAAATGTGTTTGTGTCACATACATTTGTGTAGTAATGTGTAAATGTGTTGTCATACATTTGTATAGTAATGTGTAAATGTGTTTGTTTCATACATATGTGTAGTAATGTGTGAATGTGTGTCTCATACATTTTTGTAGTAATGTGTAAATGTGTTTGTCACATACATTTGTGTAGTAATGTGTAAATGTCTTTCATGCATTTGTGTAATAATGTGTAAATGTGTTTCATACATTTGTGTAGTAATGTGTAAATGTGTTTGTGTTTCATACATTTGTGTGGTAATGTGTAAATGTGTTTCATACATGTGTGTAGTAATGTGTAAATGTGTTTCATACATTTGTGTAATAATGTGCAAATGTGTTGTCATACATTTTTGTAGTAGTGTGTAAATGTGTTTGTTTCATACATTTGTGTAGTAATGTGTGAATGTGTGTGTCTCATACATTTGTGTAATAATGTGTAAATGTGTTTCATACATTTGTGTAGTAATGTGTAAATGTGTTTCATACATTTGTGTAATAATGTGCAAATGTGTTTCATACATTTGTGTAGTAATGTGTAAATGTGATTGCGTTTCATACATTTGTGTAGTAATGTGTAAATGTGTTGTCATACATTTGTGTAATAATGTGTAAATGTGTTTGTGTTTCATACATTTGTGTAGTAATGTGTAAATGTGTTGTCATACATTTGTGTAGTAATGTGTAAATGTGTTTGTGTTTCATACATCTGTGTAGTAATGTGTGAATGTGTGTCTCATACATTTGTGTAATAATGTGTAAATGTGTTTGTCACATACATTTGTGTAGTAATGTGTAAATGTGTTTGTCACATACATTTGTGTAGTAATGTGTAAATGTGTCTCATACATGTGTGTAGTAATGTGTAAATGTGTTTGTGTTTCATACATTTGTGTAGTAATGTGTAAATGTGTTTCATACATTTGTGTAGTAATGTGTAAATGTGTTTGTGTTTCATACATTTGTGTAGTAATGTGTAAATGTGTTGTCATACATTTGTGTAGTAATGTGTAAATGTGTTGTCATACATTTGTCTGGTAATGTGTAAATGTGTTTGTGTTTCATACATTTGTGTGGTAATGTGTAAATGTGTTTCATACATTTGTGTGGTAATGTGTAAATGTGTTTCATACATTTGTGTGGTAATGTGTAAATGTGTTTCATACATTTGTGTGGTAATGTGTAAATGTGTTTGTTTCATACATTTGTGTAGTAATGTGTAAATGTGTTGTCATACATTTGTGTGGTAATGTGTAAATGTGTTTGTGTTTCATACATTTGTGTAGTAATGTGTAAATGTGTTTGTGTTTCATACATTTGTGTAGTAATGTGTAAATGTGTTTCATACATTTGTGTAGTAATGTGTAAATGTGTTTGTGTTTCATACATTTGTGTGGTAATGTGTAAATGTGTTTCATACATTTGTGTGGTAATGTGTAAATGTGTTTCATACATTTGTGTGGTAATGTGTAAATGTGTTTCATACATTTGTGTGGTAATGTGTAAATGTGTTTGTTTCATACATTTGTGTAGTAATGTGTAAATGTGTTGTCATACATTTGTGTGGTAATGTGTAAATGTGTTTGTGTTTCATACATTTGTGTAGTAATGTGTAAATGTGTTTGTGTTTCATACATTTGTTTAGTAATGTGTAAATGTGTTTCATACATTTGTGTAGTAATGTGTAAATGTGTTTGTGTTTCATACATTTGTGTGGTAATGTGTAAATGTGTTTCATACATTTGTGTGGTAATGTGTAAATGTGTTTCATACATTTGTGTAGTAATGTGTAAATGTGTTTCATACATTTGTGTGGTAATGTGTAAATGTGTTTCATACATTTGTGTAGTAATGTGTAAATGTGTTTAATACATTTGTGTAGTAATGTGTAAATGTGTTTCATACATTTGTGTAGTAATGTGCAAATGTGTTGTCATACATTTGTGTAGTAATGTGCAAATGTGTTGTCATACATTTTTGTAGTAATGTGTAAATGTGTTTGTGTCACATACATTTGTGTAGTAATCTGTGAATGTGCCCGTATCCGTGTTAGCAATGCGCGCTGAGTGTGGTGGTTTAACGTTGCGTTTCTGTACATTTCTCTTGTCGTTTATTGTTTTTTTGTGTGTGAATGTGTCTCGTCT